ATTTCCCTGGGTACAAAATGGATGTATTAAAGGGAAGTACTTAATATTGGATGGCCTCTCCTCCAGCATGTTTTTTTGTGCTAAGCTCTGGAAACTAGGAGAAAGTATTTCTGTGAATTTTGTAATTGTCAATGCTTGTAAAAATGTGAAAACTTGTGTGCTGCCAAGCCTGTGGACTATTACAATATGTACTAAAACCATTTTGCCTGTAAGCTAATTTCTGTGAACTGTTGCTTCATGCATCTTTTTTTCTTCACATTGTCCCTGTTTCCTTTCACATTGTCCCCTGAGAAATTCCCTGCTTTGGATCTCTGGGAACAACTTGGAAAATGTACTTTGACATTTTGATGTTACAACACATGTTAGTCATCAGACATCAGTCACAAGTCAAACCACACTTGAGTGTTTTGAGTGGTTGTGTGTTTTACATTTCCCTGACTCTCCCAAGCTGTCCAACTGGCACACTGACCATTTGCCAACTGGCCTTTCATGACTGAAATGCTGCATGCAGCTGTTATTCAAACATTCTGCCTTCCTGAAATAATGCAGCTCAAACCAGGTCAGGGATGCTGACAGCTAAACTGATAATGAATAAACAAGTAGGGAACAGAAGTGACATGCAATTAACTGCAGCAAAAAATATCCTGTACAATGTCTTCATTTGGCTTTGCATTCATTTTGTGAAGGGGTCTCAACAGAATCATGGCACAGCCTTGTATGGAGCACCAGCAACCCAGAGGTCATTTGAATGCTCCAGCTATTAGCATCCCATGACCCAGGATTCAAACCTGGTCCCTGCATATGAAAGCCAAATGTGCCAGCCACTCAGCCATTATGCCCCTATCTTTGTATTTTGCAGCAGTTATGAGTTACAGTCGGATGGGCAGACCAAATGTTCTGACAAATGTAAATTTTTATTATTGTTTTTTAATGATTAGCTCTAACCTGTGTATGTGGTCCGGAATGTTTCTGTTTGTGCTTGGTCACAAAACCACTGATGTCACCAAATCCATTGTATATATCCACTCATGCTGTGCATCAGTTGTTCATTGGAGAGAGTAAGATAAACAAGGATCCATGAATTCATTATCCATGGCCAGAAACCCCATCATTGGAATCACATACAGTGCCCAATCTTGTCAATGTCTGAAGTTGGGTCAGCTCCATTTTTGACAGGTATGCAGTTATTGCCAAGACCTCAAAGAAAGCTGAAAATCATTCTCGCACACTAATGAAAAATTCATGATCACCAGCCCATATGTTATGGACTTCTGCAGCTTGTGACTGTGGTGGCTACAGCGGAGGTGCTCCTTTCTGTGTCTAGATGAACGAGATGATGAACCCGACACTGCCGAGCCCGTCGCCGACGTCCACGGACGCCTGCCTCAGCATAGTGCACAGTCTCATGTGCCACCGTCAAGGCGGCGAGTCCGAGGAGTTCGCCAGGAAGGCCATTGAGAGCCTCGTCAAAAAGCTGAAGGTAACGCGCCTAATTGCGGACGACATCGTAGCAGGGATGGGTGCGGGCTCTCGGGAAAAGTTTCTGGGCTGGAATCGGGCATGTTTCTGGTGTTTTCACAATCAGATGAGAGAGGTGTCTACTGGTCAAATTTGTGTGTGGGTGTGTGCGTGCGTGCGTGCGTGCGTGCGTGCGTGCGTGCGTGCGTGCGTTGTGTTCTATAGGACATGTTATGACCTGTAGTGTATTTAGTTTTTACTCAAGATGTAGTGATGTTCCTAGAAAGTGTCATAGCTCAGACATTCTATGCCGTCCGGAACTTCGAATCTTTCGGTTGCGTTGCAGGCTTTTGTAGGAACAGCCTCTGCCAACACTCAGCTACAGCATACTGAAAGAGTGACGAAGTTGTGCCGTTCTGAGACGGATGTAATGGGGATTTTGAATGACCGCACTGTCACTCGATCATTAACTTGGGTCTGCAAACTGGTGTAGTAAAAGTGTGGGGAGGTGGCTCTTGGCTTGTCAGATTTGTGAAGTGTTCCACAATTGTATTTTATGTACTAAAGGTGCACGCCCTTGTCAAATACACCGGCGGAGATTGCAGCGTGCCCACATACCGTCCGTTGGCGTCCACAGGAGAAGCGCGATGAGCTGGACTCGCTGATCACGGCCATCACCACCAACGGGGCGCACCCGAGCAAGTGTGTCACCATCCCGCGCACGCTCGATGGCCGCTGCAGGTCAGGGACGCGGGACCTGGCCGCCTGGAGGCTCGCGTGGCACGGCCGATGCCTGTCGAGATCGGCCTCCGGATGCGAGGCACTCTCAGAGTTCTCGCTCAGCCCTGCCCATGGACCAGACCAACGTGTGGATAGACGTTTTTACTTCGTTGCAATGTTTTCGTGGCATGGCTTTGTTTGACGGGATTATCCGTATGTGTTTTTCGTGATTATGAACTACTGTTGTGTGCGGCTGGACGTACGATGTACGCTTTGCTGGGCCATTTGCTGTCCCATTGCCTTTCATGTGTTTTTTTGTAATATCATACCGTTGGGATCCCCGTTATTCGCACGCTTTAAGTTTAGACGACGCACGGTCTGGACGACGATCCTGAAGTTGACGTACCTTGTTTTGCCTCCCAGGTCGCTGGAAGGAAAGGGTTCCCACACGTGGTGTACGCCAAGATCTGGCGCTGGCCCGACCTACACAAAAACGAGCTGAAGAATGCCAAGTTCTGTCAGCTGGCCTTCGACCTGAAGGCGGACGCCGTCTGCGTCAACCCGTATCACTACGAGCGGGTCGTCTCCACCGGAATAGGTCAGAAGCTTTCTTGGCAGTAATTGCCACCTGTTGAGTTCAGCAACGATTTACATCCAGTAGACTTTCTTAATCGCGTTTTGACAAGTGTGTAATGATGGCTTCAACGTGCCGTCGGTGGGAGATGTTTTCCAGTCTTCAGTGATGGTGTTAATGTGGGCTTTCATGCTCAAGAGGTCCTATGTGGCCATGCAGTTGCAGTCCTTGGAAGCGCACGTCATCACTCAGTCAGCACTCAAATGTGTTGTACGTAAAGTAAACAGAAGGTAAATATTGTACGAAGCTCCTTCTATCGCTATGTGTGCATTATATACGCTTCTGTATTAAAATAAGTCACTGATAAGTTCAGCGATTCCCCAAAGCCCATCAGCATGATCCATTGTGTCGGAACGACGTTATTCATCATGGCAAGTTAAATGGGTCATTGTCATTGCACATGCTTGCTTAGTGCCTCATCCACAAGCTAGCTTGCCAGTTCATTGAAAACTACCACATGTTGAGCAACTTTGTGAATTCATGCCAGTTACATAGCTCTACTCTGGTATTAATATGGAAAACAGTTTATGTGTCTATCTCGCCCATCTCCTTAAAATGGCAACAGTGTTTTAGGACGGTGCTGTAGTTTCGTGAACAACGTTGACACGAGTCCGGCTGCGCCGCGGTCATCACGTGAATGGCTGTGACCACAGATCTGATGTTGGGGAGGGGAACAACCCAGGAACTGTACTCTGGGGTGCAACGTAACGGGAAAGTGACGTTTGAAATAGGAACGTATCAAAAACGTGCATCCAATTTGCAAAACTGGAGGGGACAAAAGCCTCTCTCCGGAAAGCTGGAGAGGATCTGCCCCATCCCCGATCCCTCCAGTGGTTACACCCGTAACCACGCGCATTGTGCGCCGCCGCCAGACCTGTCGAGCCTGTCCATCCACCCGTCGAACCCGTCGTCGGTGAAGAACGAGTACACGGCGGGCCTGGACCACCCGGATGCGGCTGACGCGGCGCCGCAGTCGGCCGGCGGCGTGTCACCGGCGGCCGCCGTGGCTGCTCAGCACCGAGCGCCACTGCACGGCCTTCCATATGGCGTGCCCTCCCACGGTTAGTCCCCGCACGGCCCCACCCATGGTCAGTCTCACGCACGGTCTGTCCACCCACGGTCAGTCCCCGCACGGCCTGCCCACCCACGGTCAGTCTCCGCACCGCCCGCAAGGCCTGCCCACCCACGGTCAGTCTCACGCACGGTCTGTCCACCCACGGTCAGTCCCCGCACGGCCTGCCCACCCACGGTCAGTCTCCCGCACCGCCCGCAAGGCCTGCCCACCCACGGTCAGTGTCCTGCACGGTCTGTCCACCCACGGTCAGTTTCCCGCACCTCCCGCACCGCCTGCCCACCCACGGTCAGTGTCCTGCACCGTCTGCCCACCCACGGTCAGTCTCCCGCACCGCCCGCACGGCCTGCTCACCCACGGTCAGCCTCCCGCACCGTCTGTCTACCCACGGTTAGTCTTCCGCACGGCCTGCCCACCCACGGTCAGTCTCCCGCACGGCCTGCCCACCCACAGTCAGTCTCCCGCACGGTCTGCCCACCCACGGTCAGTCTCCCGCCCGGCCTGCCCACCCACGGTCAGTCCCCGCATGGTCTGCCCATCCATGGTCAGTCTCCCGCACGGTCTGCCCATCCACGGTCAGTCTCCCGCACGGCCTGCCCACTCACGGTCAGTCTCCCGCACGGTCTGCCCACCCACGGTCAGTCTCCTACACGGCCTGCCCACCCACGGTCAGTCTCCCGCACGGCCTGCCCACTCACGGTCAGTCTCCCGCACGGTCTGCCCATCCACGGTCAGTCTCCCGCACGGCCTGCCCGCTCACGGTCAGTCTCCCACACGGTCTGCCCACCTACGGCCAGTCTCCCGCACCGTCTGTCTACCCACGGTTAGTCTCCCGCCCGGCCTGCCCACCCACGGTCAGTCTCCCTCACGGCCTGCCCACTCACGGTCAGTCTCCCGCACGGCCTGCCCACCCACGGTCAGCCTCCCGCACCGTCTGTCTACCCACGGTTAGTCTTCCGCCCGGCCTGCCCACCCACGGTCAGTCCCCGCACGGCCTGCCCATCCACGGTCAGTCTCCCGCCCGGCCTGCCCACTCACGGTCAGTCTCCCGCACGGCCTGCCCACCCACGGTCAGTCTCCCACACGGTCTGCCCACCCACGGTCAGTCTCCCACACGGCCTGCCCACCCACGGTCAGTCTCCCGCACGGCCTGCCCACTCACGGTCAGTCTCCCGCACGGTCTGCCCATCCACGGTCAGTCTCCCGCACGGCCTGCCCACCCACGGTCAGTCTCCCGCACGGCCTGCCCATCCACGGTCAGTCTCCCGCACGGCCCTGCCCACCCACGGTCAGTCCTCCCGCACGGCCTGCCCCATCCACGGTCAGTCTCCCCACGGCCTGCCCACCCACTCAGGGTCATCTCCCGCACGGCTCCTGCCCACGCACGGTCAGTTCCTCCCGCATGGTCTGCCCACCCACGGTCAGTCTCCCGCACGGCCTGTGCCCATCCACGGTCAGTCTCCCGCACGGCCAGCCGGTGGTCAGTCTCATGCAGGCATCTCCAAATGTTAAGACGCTTTCCTAGCCACTTCCACGTAATTTCGTATCCGTAATCCTTCCTTTGGCCATGACGGATCCCACTGACAACTGCAGATTGTCTGGCTGCGGCTCTATTAGGTGGTCTTCTTCTCTGGCTTCCACAGCTACTGCACCGTCGCGCCAGCACCTCCGGACACCCGACCCCGCGCTTCTAAGCGTCGCGTTGTCGTCTCGCAACACCTCCCGACTGCCGGGATGGCGTCGGGGGCTGTGCACCCCGTCGCACCATGATGATGGTGTGACGATGATGATGATGAGCTCCCCGTTTCGCGGGTATTCTGTGGTGGGCCTGGGTCGTCGACACGCGGTCGTTGTCTCCCGATCGTGTTGTGGTGCGAGGCGAGCACGTGCGTTTGTGTGTGTGAGTGTGCGCTCAGACGTGCGCGCGTGTTTGTATATGCATGCGTGTGTGTGTGTGCGCCTGCGCGTGTCCGCGTGCGTGCGTGTGTATGCTTGTCCACGCGCGTGTGCATGCGTGCGTGCGCGTGGGCGCGCTCCGCCAACTCATCACCTATCTGCGTACTCTCCTTAACCAGCTGTTATCGTCCTCACACCGCAACACGATTGGGTATGGGAAGTGGGAAAGCTGGCGCATAAGTGTGAATGAGACATGCTGCTGCCCCGGTGGTGAGTCGGCTAGCTGCTTTGTAAGACTGGCTGCTGGTGCTGTGACGGCTGGCTTGCTTTGGCCGGCGCCGGCCGCGCTGCTAACGGCGGCCGGCGGTGCTCGCCGCGCCCCACTAACGCCCGGCCGGTGCGTGTGCGCGCGCGCCGCGTGCTGTTGCAGGTGGCTCGTTGCCATCGCCGGGCGCCCAGCTCCTCGCAGGCTTCAGGTGGCGCCGCGGCCGCCGCCGCCGCCGCCGGTTCCGACCCCAGCGCCGGGTTCTCGGAGTCGCGTCACAGTAAGGCCCGCTCCCGCCCGCCCCGCCCTTGCCCGCTACCGCCGCCGCCGCCAGCTCCGACCCCCAGCGCCGGGTTCTCGGAGTCGCGTCACAGTAAGGCCCGCCTCGTCACCGCCCCCGCCCCGCCCCGCCCCGCTCCGCCCCGCTCCGCTCGGCCCCGTCACCGCCGCCGCCGCCGCCGGCTCCTGCCCCAGCGCTGGGTTTACGCAGCCGTGACAAGTAGGTCCGCCCCCCGCTCTCCGCCCCACCCGCCCCGCCCCTCCGCCGGCTCGGGCCCAGCGCCGGGTTCTCGCAGCCGTGGCACCGTAAGACAAAGTCATTTGCTTTGATTAGAACGGGTAAGTCACCCACGTGACCTTGTAGTTATGGTCTGGCTGTTGCACTGCTTTCAGTGGCAGTTCTTTCTGTGAGACAAGCCGCTATGTATTTTTCTAGCCGTGGTCGGTGCATGTGCTGGTGCATTTCTGATCACTCTGTATGCATGCTACTTATATCGGGTGGAATTGCGGGCTACTGCTATTCTTCAACTTTGTATTCGTACACTCTGTAGTGTGCCGTTGTTTTCAGTTTTCCTTTACTCTGTCTGATGCCACTTTTATAAATGAGCTGGGATTTTTCAGCACGCTGGTGTACGTTCAAACGTTGCGCTTTCTAGTCAGCAGTCGTTTGGTGAGTTCGTGAAATGCACGTTTTTGCCGAAAGCTCAATACGTGGTGCGTTCATTTGAGTTCTGGCACTGATAACGTCACACCTAAAATGCAGCTCTCTGTCATAGACAGTAATGTGGCATGTCCTGTCTTTCTCTCGCTGCACGATTGGACTCTGATGCTGATTGTTTTCCTTTCTGTGCTGTTCCAGCAAATCATTTCATGAATGCTGCGCCGTTTATAGGTTAGTTGAATGGGGTACTAGTTCATTCAGTAGTGACAGAGGTGGTGGCATTACCTTTGCACGTGTTCGCGCACGTCAGGTTTCTGCTTTGATACACAGGATGCGGCTCTTTCAGCTGATGATACTCGGGTGTTGGTTGACGTCAGGGGATGCGCCGGCGTCCGTCGCACATCGCAATGATTGCCGCCTTTGAGAAGCTCGCCGGGTCTTGTCGGGTTGTCAGTGGCGTGTGAAATCGTCAATGGGCTTTATCTATCTCCCGTGCGAGGCTGGACTCAGCCCTGACTTGCTTCGTGCTCGTGCTCGTGCAGTCGCTCATGCATTCGACGCTCGGTCAGTCCAGCCACATGAGTAAACCCGGGCCTGTGCTGACCAGCACGAAGTCGGCCTGTATCGCGCGGGCCGGCCGTCGGCGGCGCGCGCCTGACCCGGCGTGCTGGTGTGTGCGCAGCCGGCCCGGGCGGCGCCCTGCCACCCCAGCTGCCGGCCAATGGGTTCGGACTAGGCACGGCGCGGTTCGGCGCCGCCGGCACGGCCGCCCCCTGGAGCGGCGGCGACCGCGGCTCCGGCTCCGGCTCGGGCTCCGGTACCGGCTCGACGCTGACCTACCGGCGCGACATGGCGCCGGACCGGCCGGCTGCCTACACCTGTGAGTGGCGACCGCCGCGACCGGGCTGCCCCCACACGTGGCATGGACCTGCTCGCTAATCCGCTCCGTTTCCCCCCCCCCCTCCTTCGTCCAGTCCTGCGCCGCGAGCTACACTCCCTGCGCCGTTTATTTGCTTGTCTATATGTTGAGCTTCCTTTCTTATCCCCATAGTGTGTTGTCTCAAACGGATATGAAATTTTTGACTCCTCGGACGGACGCACCTTTTTGCGCGAAGTCGTCATCATCATGTTCTAGGCACTTGTTTCCTGGGTTCCGCTCTCGCGAGGTATTAATTCCTCGTTATGATGACCCACGTTTGTGTGTTTCCAGTTTTTCTACGTGCACTTTGTTGCGCTCTACTTTTCATTCTCACATGCAGCTGAAGCGGACCAGCGTCTCCGTGTCCCATGCACCGTTTAACTCATTTCCTGTGAACTGGGCTGCACGCATCTGTAGCGTACGATGTAAACGTGGTCATAACCCATGTCACCCCCTGTTACAATTACGCCCTTGTCCTGTGGACTCTGCTCACCGGGTGTATCACACGCGCCGAAGTCGCCGTCACCCGTGTCGCGTCAGCCGCCCGGCCAGCGCCACCCAGCGCGGTGCTGACCGACCGATGGCCGGACCGTTCCAGTTTCGGGGACGAACGCGCACGTGCAGCATCAGGACACGCAGGTGCTGCTGTCCAGCGTGCCGGCCCCCGAGTTCTGGTGCAACATCACCTACTTCGAGCTGGACACGCAGGTGCGGCGCGGGCGGCAGGCCACCGGGCGGGCGCCGTCCGCTGGCGGCGGAGCGGGCGCCTGCTGAGCGACGGCCAATGGCTCTTGTGACGTTGTAGACCTGTTTGCGGGTTTGGTGTGATCAGTGGTGTCACAAAGCTGACGGTGACGATAACGCTGATGTGCGGTAGTGACCGATTCACCGGGATGGTGTGACAGGAGTTACTGTTTTCGCGCAAAGGAAATAACTGGATTCCGTCAATGATTAATTAGCATGCATTAGGTGATTAGAGCTACTGTGCTGGTGGACATGGAATTATTGTGGTATAGTTTTTCAGCTATTTTAGTCCCGTTTTATGACTACGCTAGAACTGACTGTCCTGTGATTGATTGTGGGTGTCTTTATTCCGCAAGACCATGCCACCCGTCTTGACTCTATGCATGTGCGACAGTGGAGTGTGGCCCTTGCTGTCTGACCTTTCCAAGCCGTGCGGTGCGCCGCCGCCGACTGTCAGCGTCGTGTGTTCGTGGCCAGGTGGGCGAGGCGTTCAAGGTGCCGTCCAGCATGTCCTCGGTGACGGTGGACGGGTACGTGGACCCGTCGGGCGACAGCCGCTTCTGCCTGGGGGCACTCAGCAACGTGCACCGCACCGAGCAGAGCGAGCGTGCCAGGTGAGTGTCCTGGCAAGCAGAGCGAACGTACCAGGTGAGGATCCTGACGAGCAGAGCGAGCGTGCCAGGTGAGCGTTCTGGTGAGCAGAGCGGGCGTGCCAGGTAAATGTCCTGACGAGCAGAGCGAGCGTGCTAGGTGAGTGTCCTGACGAGCAGAGCGAGCGTGCCAGGTGAGTGTCCTGGCGAGCAGAGCGAGCGTGCCAGGTGAGCGTTCTGGTGAGCAGAGCGAGCGTGCCAGGTGAGCGTTCTGGTGAGCAGAGCGGGCGTGCCAGGTAAATGTCCTGACGAGTAGAGCGAGCGTGCTAGGTGAGTGTCCTGACGAGCAGAGCGAGCGTGCCAGGTGAGTGTCCTGGCGAGCAGAGCGAGCGTGCCAGGTGAGCGTTCTGGTGAGCAGAGCGGGCGTGCCAGGTAAATGTCCTGACGAGCAGAGCAAGCGTGCCAGGTGAGTGTCCTGGCGAGCAGAGCGAGCGTGCCAGGTGAGCGTTCTTGTGAGCAGAGCGAGCGTGCCAGGTAAATGTCCTGACGAGCAGAGCGAGCGTGCCAGGTGAGTGTTCTGGCGAGCGGGGCAAGTGTGACAGGTGAGTGTCCTGACGAGCAGAGCGAGCGTGCCAAGTGAGTGTCCTGACGAGCAGAACGAGCGTGCCAGGTGAGCGTTCTGACGAGTGGAGCCGGCGTGGCACGTGAGTGTCCTGGCGAGCAGAGCGAGCGTGCCAAGCGAGGGTTCTGACGAGCAGAGCGGGTATATGGGATGAAAAGCACAAACCCGACGCGTTTGTGTGCTTTAGGAGTTGTTTCAGTCAAGGCCTGGAGGTAGTAGGGAGACTGGTCGTCCATGGGTAATGGAGAATAATAACAACGCGTGTCAATTATTCGTTTAGCATTGTTTTACATAGTTTTGCGAGGTGTGCTATACGTGCAGGTATTGGGGCTGCAGTCTGACACCAGTTATAGCACGGATGTGGGAGACCATTCCGATAGTTCGGCTGCGGGGCACGGTCATGACTGACGTTCAATCGACGGAGCTGTTCTTACTATGGAATGCAGAAGGAAATAGGAATCGGAGTCATATTCAGTGTCGCCGGCCATTCTCCACCGACGGTGTTAGACCAATGCAGCGAGCGCTGCTGCGTGGTCCGACAGTATATCCGTTAACCGGCCGTACTCTCCTCGCGCTGGCAGGGCCTGGCGTGCCACCTGCAGGGGTGCCTGTTGACCCGCCGGCCTGTGTCTCTTCCGCAGACTCCACATCGGTAAGGGAGTGCAGCTGGATGTGCAGGGCGAGGGCGACGTGTGGCTGCGCTGCCTCAGCGACCACGCCGTGTTCGTGCAGAGCTACTACCTGGACCGAGAGGCGGGCCGCGCGCCCGGCGACGCCGTCCACAAGATCTACCCGGCCGCCTACATCAAGGTGTTTGACCTGCACCAGTGTCACCGGCAGATGCAGCAGCAGGTGCGTACCTCGTCGGCTCGGGCCCCGACGTGCCGTGACACTGTCGGGGATGGTCTTTCGCAAGGCTTCGCACAGGGGATCTGGGCTTTTGGTCGGGGCGGGTGCAAGACAGGTATAACCAGAAGATATGGCTGGTATATTTGTAACAGTGATGTCAGCAATAATTGTGCTAGTTTCTACTCTTACAGTTGAGGTAGTCGTAGACCTTGTTCGATCATGCGAACCATGTAAAGAGGCCGTGCTTACTTAGTGTGAAGATATGTAGGTGGAATGACGTTGGGAACTTCACGCACTCTCCAATTCTTGTCCAACGGTTTTGCAAGAAAATGTACCTGTGACGACATTTGCCGTCGTCTTGCACATACGCTCGTGTGACCCCGTCTGGCCTGTGGGGTTGGCTGCCGATCACTGGCGCCTGTCCGCTGACACCTCCTCCCCACGGCGGCGAGCAGGCGTCGCAGGCGACGGCGGCGGCGGCGGCGCAGGCGGCGGCCGTGGCCGGGCACATCCCGGGCGTGGCCAGCGTCGGCGGCATCGCGCCGGCCGTCACCATGGCTCCGGTGGCGGGGCTCGGGGTCGACGACCTGCGCCGGCTCTGCATCCTGCGGCTGAGCTTCGTCAAGGGCTGGGGGCCCGACTACCGCCGCCAGAGCATTAAGGAGACGCCCTGCTGGGTGGAGGTGAACCTGCATCGCGCGCTGCAGCTGCTCGACGGCGTGCTGCAGACCTCGCGCGTCGTCGCCGCCCGCTCCTGAGCGGGGCGTGCGAACGGGCGGCGGGCTGGATACAGTGTTCAGTGGGAGGGCGGCGGCGCTCCCTGCCGAGACAGGTCGGCAGAGACCCGGCCGGTGCGGGGCGCTGGCCGCTCTTCGGACGCGAGCGCGCGCAGACGTCGACGGCGTCGGAGGTGGGCAGAGGTCTGTCGGGTGAGCCGGGGCCGGCGGCGGGCGCGACCGAGTGCCTTCGCCTTGTGGTGTGGGACGGACGTGGCGGGTGCGCGCGTGATGATAAGAATACTCAGCGCCTGGCCGCCGGCGGAGCCGGTGCTCTGGCTTAGGGAAGGCTGTGATCTCATGCGAGCGCGGCGGCGGTCCTGCTGGCCCGACGCCGTCACGTGTTGGACGAGGTTATGCGCGATACAGGGGCAGGCATTCGCATTGTCGCGGCGAGAGTTGAGGAGCCGTTGGCTCGTCTTTTAAGCTTTGGCTGGGCGAATCCGGCAAAAATGCATAGAGGTGGACGTTTTGTAATCGTTTTAGTTGTATCACCATTCGCTGTGTGCGTCCCGCTCATAGCGCTGAGTATTGTCATGTTTGAATCTCTCGTTGGACTTAGTGCACTTGCCACTTCCAGTTCGCTTTTAGCGCGCGAAGAGGATGACAGGCTTCAATTTGTGACGTCACCAAGTGGTGATCGCGCTTTTTGTCCGCTGCGCGCGCTCACGCAACCACCGAATGTTATCGCCCCGCAGTGTCGCACTCGCTCTAAATACGCGTCCGTATCGCGAAAGGTATAGTGGTTCCGCGTTGCATGCACCATTCTTGACCGGTAATCGGTGCAGTCCGGAGCTGTTGCGTGTGCCTCGTGCTGCCAATGTGTTATCGTCCCTGATGAACTCTCGTCTCGCTTTGTACCATATTCATAGAATACATCATAAGCCTATGTTCCTGTCGTCCATAAATGTGGGAGCTGGGTGCTCGCCTTTTGGTCCTTGAAACTTGAGACACTCTTGGGTTTGTCGTCGTTGTGACACAGCACTTGGACATCGGTGTTTCGGTGCAGTTGTACGACGTCTGCAACACGCATTTTTTTGCCGACAGTCTTGAATGGTTGGCATTAAATCAGTGCCTTTCACGATTGCAATTCTCTCCTCGCAATTCTTTCGAGGAAACATGGTGTTTCGAGCTTATAGAATGTCTTAATGATTTTGCTATGCATAACATTTAGATTCCTTTGCGTCATGAATTATCTGGCTTTCAGCCGCCCTTCATATAGGCCTCGTCTGTGCCGATGAGCCTGCTACCGCTCAACTGAGACCTGGTCTATTTTGAGTGGCAAGGCGGGATGTGGCGGCTCAGCGGCAGTGAGCCGCTGCACGGATACCATAGCGCTGACGTATAGGGGCGAGTGAGTCTGCAATGTCCAATCACCAGTGAAAATGCGCTATTCACCCACAACACAAAATCAATCGACCGCGTGCAGTTCCTGGGGCGTCGGTCAACAGCTGTACGGAATATGCATGGTCATGGTCATTTTTGGTGCGTTTGAACAAGGGGAGGGTGTACATTGAGACATTAGGTCACCCCATAGGTGCGAATCTTCTCATACGACATATGAAGGTGCTCCATGAAAACGTGCACACCCTGTAACCAGGGGCACAGCCAGAGCCTTGGTAGGGGGGGGGGGGACGATGGCACCAAGGTGACAAAGGGTCCCTGCTGATGAGTGGCTACCCTAAAAAATAACTGAATTTATCCCACTTGACCGAATAAAACCGATTTGCTTGATTTTCTTTTCTTTCCACTTTTCTTCGCGAAACAGAAGCCAATAGCTACCAGAACGTGCCGTTTGGGTTGCATTCAGAACTTCATAAATTTGAAGAACAATGTCACATGACAATCGAGTACGCCGCCCGTGCTGTTCATTTTATAGCCATTCCATGGACTCTTTCTCAACCGGAATTGTTACAGGTTCCACGTGTATATTGAGGGACCCATGGATTGAACGTGGATCGCATGTGTAGCTCGCGTAGATCGCATGTGTAACTCGCGTAGATCGGGGGTGCTTGTCCAAGATGTAGGGTGGCATTTTTCGGGGATGACTTCTCTCTCGCCTGCCAAGACGTCCCCGTCTTCCATAGGCGTCTCTGTGCGTCCAGTGCGGCCGCCGTGGCGGAGGCGACAGGAATCTTCAACGCCTTCAGCGGAAGGTGTGACAGCCCATCCGCAATCAGCAGATTCTTCCCCGGTTTGATTGTCGAGTCGCTGTTTTGGAGGCGTATCAACATCCTCTGAGTCGTGGCGGTGTCGCCCTGAGGTTCTTGACTTGAGCTGAGCAATTTCTGGCGGCTCGTGGTCACTTTCCACAGTGGAGCCACGACTGAACACCTGCGTGTGGAAGCGCTTATACACGCACACGGTGCCAGGAGCTCGCGCCCTATGTTGGCGTAGCGTTGCTCACCCTCTGGCAGGGATTTCGACGCGAAGGCGATGGGATTTCCGCCTTGGACCAGGTCGGCGCTCCAGCCTTTTTGTGAGGCGTCCACTTGGACAGCCGGTGGCTTACTGGGGTCGAAGTACGCCATCATTGTCTCTTGGCAGATCAGGTCCTTCGCCATCGTTAAGACTCGCTCGAGCTCTGCTTCCTTCTTGAGCAGTCCACGAAGCGGCTCCAACGAGTCTGACACTTCCGGCGCGAAGGGAGAAGCGTGGTAGGTAGGTGACGACACCAATCAGGAACGCTTACGCATCCTGTTTTTTCAGGTGAACCAGGCCCGTATTCTACAATTCGAGGTCTCTTAGATACGGATAAAAAAGACTCCAGTGGTATTGAAGCATCTCCAGACTCAAATTGGACACAGGACCAATTGCCGCGTGGCCAGGTTGTTCCTGCAGCGAATCAGACAGGATGGTGAGTTACCGCTCCGCCCCGGTCAGCTGCTACGAGCCCAGCACCCACAGAGCGCACGGAGGGAACCAGCGACCGCCGTGGACCAGCGCCCAGAACTACGGTCACACACCACTCGAGCCGAACACGGCGCGGTACACCGTCGAGATCGCCGGCATCGACGCAGCCTCAGCCCGTCTCCAGCTCGCGTGGAAGACGACGCGCCGCGCAATGTGGACCTCGCGCCGCCAGTCCGCCGCTGCGCGTGAGTCGTGTCCGGACGGCCCCAGCGGCACCAGCCGCGTGTGACCGAGCGGCGACCGGTCTCACCTCTGAGCGTGATCGTGCCATCGCGAGGCCCGGCCACCTCGACCTATAGACTTGTGTTGCATCATGGTTACTGCATATGCCAGTGGAGATATTATGCTATCGCCTGCTCTAAAGGGTTAGCCTTTCCAGTTGCGTCGACCGCCGTCAGCCGTCTGTCATCAACGCTGTTTCGTCCGCCCCCGGACGCCATCTGGGGCACAAACAGAGCGTAGTGAGGCGCCTGTGATTTGGAATAGCTCAATATGAACACAGGAGACACCAGCTCGTTACTTCATCGTTCTGAATCTTGCGCAGAATAAAGCCAGTGCAGGCCACCACGCAGAAAACCTGCACATCTCACTACCTGAAAACCGCAATCCAGCAGGCCGTCCCCAGCCTGTGGACAAACCGGCAATGAATCTGGCAAGATGGGAACCTTAAAACAGTGATGAATTTGCGATGATCAAGTTTTGCGAGTCGTGGTCAGTGTAGCATAATACCCAATAAGTCTGAGCATATGTTGGCCACAATAAACAAAGCCACCCACCTGCGTAATTCTCTCGCCCAATCTCTTGTCTCTGGGTTTGACCTATTCCGAAAAGGAGACAAAAGGCGACATTGGCCGTTTCCCCGTTGTCCTACCATCATCATTTGGTGATAAATAGCTCAGGTATGGGCCGAATTATCTTCTTAGTGGCATGTAGCACCAAATAAAAACGTTCCAGAATATACGCATATGCGATAAGCGTAAGAAAGCGCGTGCCCACCCTCCCACCGACCGGCACTTCCCTCATGCAATAATTAGTTTTTCTTTTCCTTGACGCAAAATCGTCTCGACGCCGACGCGCCCTTAAACCCCAAAACCAACACCGCGTGCTAGCTGGTTTACGTCGTCAGAATGTGTGCTTACGCAGCTGCGACACCAGTCGTCTAGGTCTGGTCACGGTTTTGACCCACTTTTCAAGCCTTCGTAATGACGAATTTTCCTTTTCCATGTTAAACCAAAGTGGGAGGCGAAATCCAAGCAACGATGCAATTTTCCAAGAAATACCGCCTGTTTAAGCAACAGTCTAAGTAAAAAAAAAAAACACCAACGATTCACATAGCAGCACGTTTAAGGACTGGCTTCCCGTCGCTGGAGACTGCACGGGACGGCATTGTACTAGATCAAGTCGATAAAGGTTCTCTTAAGCGTGACAGCCAGACCAGGCTGCTCAGGTCAAACATCTCCTCATTCTCAGGTAAGACTCACTCAGCCCGTGGCGTCGTCCGTAATTATCACATTATACGACATAACAGGATTCCACACCTGACGTACGCGCCTCTGATTCGGCGCCTCTCTTCGCTCGATGAGTGCGCACCAGTCCTGAACTCGGATCACAACAAATCGGTGGCTTCATCAATCCCAAGACCCTTAACTGCAATGCACACAGTCAACGAAACCCCAACCTATGGCCGTATTCAAGCGATATACCAGTGACTAGTAATCTCCCTCATTCCCACGATTCGCAATACCCGAGCCGTAACATACCCCACTATATCGAAATTAACGATGCAGTGCTAGTATGCAATATGCTAAACGAGCACGACCAACGTGTACACCACGCACGTCCAGTTCACATCAGTCTCATGTAGAATGGGTGCACCAACCGCACGAGCCTTCACTGGTTGAAGGTTTAACCCCCCCCCCCCCCCCCCCATTCCAGTACCCTGTCACTATCATGAAGCTTCCTCACTACGAAAGTGTTCTCCCCGCGCGCTCACTGCTACGGCGTCCTCTCCTCGCGCTCACTGCAACGGCGTCCTCACCAAGCGCTCACTGCGACGGGGTCCTTCCCGCGCGCTCACTGCGACGGCGTCCTCCCCGCGCACTCACTG